AACAACACTTCAGACGGAAATATGTCATAACGTGGAGGTATCCTATACTACCTTAACTTTAATTAGATTCAATTCTTGTTGTTTATCTCTGCAGAGACAGTTTCTGATTGGTTAGCTTTGAATACCCATAATGCAACTCAAGAGAAGTTTTATATAAAAATTCTAAGTCCACACTTATTCTGGTTAATACCATACTGATCATTACTTTTAAGTGAAGTATAAATGAAATATTAACTGATACAATGGCTATATTTAATCTTCACTTATAAGTGAAGTATTAACGAAATCTGTTCCTCACTTGTACTTACTTTGACTTATAGAACACTTATAAGTAAGTTTCAAAACTTATAGGTGACATAAGTTGCTGTTGGTTTTTTTTTTAAGGGAAGATAGTCCAAAGTTCAGCTGTACTTTTATAAGTTTCCTGTGCCACATGCATACAAATTAAACACTTGTGTGCATTGAATAAACAAAGGATATTGTCAAAAGAAAAGTTAAAAACACAGTTTTGGATGTCCTATATTATAAAAATTTTATTATTTTAGCAATCATAATTATTTAAGAACATTTTGGGCTGTTTTGTGTCCAATAGTTTATGTATATGCTGAATAATACATGATTTAAACTAATACTCATCACTTTCGCAAGACTCAAATACTCTTAATTCATGATTGAACTAATCAGTGGATTGATTGATTGATTGTTTGTTGATTTACGTCCCATTCGAGAATTTTTCACCCATAGAGAGATGTCACCATATACCGGTGAAAGGCTTCAAATTTTGACTTTTTCTCGGCACTCAGGGCTATATTGAGCAGTGAGTGATCTTTATCGTGCCATGACACAGGGCCTCGGTTTTTAAGGTCTCATCCAAATGACCCGCAACTTTCACTTCAAAGTGCTGAGTGCATGGCAAAGTAACAGTTGCTACCCTTTTTTATCGAGTTAGGTCAGTCACAGCCATGATGGGAACATATGACCTGCCGATCATGGAGCGAGCGCTCTACCGACTGAGCTACCATGAATGGTACTAGTCAGTTGAAGAGGATATTAATTGCTTTGAAATTTTTATTTTCAGCACTTTAAAACTTTTATGTCACATCTAATTCTAAAAAAAATTTTTTTTTAAATCAATGTTAGTGAATATGGTACTTGAAAGGCATACAGCTTAGAAATGTACTGTACATTGGGGATATTGGAAATCTTAACATGCTTGCACAATTTTTTTCTTTTATTGCTGCAAAATTTAAAATGCTTGTTTTTGAACATTGGTGCATTTAAATTTTATGGATTTTCAAAACATTTTGAAATAAGCAGCACTTCAAAATTACATATAATATATGGTATTTCACTGAGGTTAATGTCTCAGCAATGATTTTTGCTGTGAATGAAAATTGAAATTTGTTTAGAAAATCTTCAATGATTATATGATTATATTTTTCATTCAGAGATATTCAAACGTTTATGAAATCAATAAAGAACTGTCTTTCATTAGCGCACAAGTGAGCTTTTCTGATCAAAATTTGTCATTGTTGTCGTCGTTGTCTTAAACTTTTTGCAAATTCATGTTCTCCTCCCGAACCACTGGGCCAATTTCAACCAAACTTGGCACAGAGTATCCTTGGGTAAAGGGAATTCAAGTTTGTTCAGATAAAGAACTACATGCACCCTTTTCCAAAGGAAGATAATAAAAAAAAAATGGTGAAAATTGGGTGGAGTCATTTAAAAAAACATCTTTTCAAGAACTACTTGGCCATAAAAGATGGAACTTATATGAAGGCTTCCTGACATAGTGTATATTCAGATTTTTCAAATCATAACCCCTGAGGATTGGGTGGGGCAACTTTGGGCAAAAAAGTTTTACATGGATATAATATAGGAAATATCTTTAAAAAATCTTCTCAAGAACAGCAAAGCCATGATCAGTTATATTTATAAGGAAACATCGTCAAGGAGTGTAGATTCAAGTTTGTTCAAGTCATGACTTCCAGGAAGGGGCTGCAATTGGCAATCAAAGTTTTACATAGGAATATATAGGTAGATTAGAATCTGCTGATGCAGATCAAGAAAGACCATAGCTGTTCAGGTGAGCATTGTGGCCCATGGACCTCTTGTTTTTGAAAAGTCATGAGGGAGTAGAGTTTGCTTTTAAACTCACATTTCATTGATCCCTGCCAATTAACCCTAGAATCTTACACAACCAGATTTTTATAGATATATTATGTATGAATTGGCAGACACATGTATTGGCTGACACTTCTGAAGTTGTCAATCAGGGCATAGACCGATAGTGCATTGATATTTACATGTACTGTTGTAGTAATTTTATCATTATCTCTATTCACACTTTTCTTCTATGCAACGTGATTCATTCACTGAATTGGGGTATATAAATGTTTAAACATGGTACTCAAAGAATATCTTCAGGAAGCAATAAGGGGTGACAGTTACAAATTTGATCACTTAACCTGCTGGTTGTTGCCAAAATAGAGATTACAATAACATAATAGGTGAGAATATTGTTGAGAAATTTCAGGAAAATCATGAGAGATTTTTATCCTGTGAATTTGTATGTTTCGTTTAGAGATGTTAATTATTAATATGAATTAATATATGAAATGTTCTACTAGTTGTGCAATTCCTGAAGATGTGTGAGCTGGGCATAAAAAAAAAGATTCACTGAAAACCAACTTCATTACTTCTTGCAAGAAGTATTTGCAAATTTTGCAACTTTCTTGGGGAAATATTTCTTAACACAAATCTTTGATTAGATTGTGCATAGATGTAGATTTTTTCCTTCTGTCATCAAAATATGTAATCCACGATGGATTTCAAACTGACAAATCAAGAATTAAAATTGTCCCAAATAATTCTGTAAATCACTTTATTCACAAAAACTTAATTTCTGCATCATTATGTGAGATTATCTGCTCACAAAATTTCATTTTTGTGTTTATTTATATTCAGCAAGATAACCTACCACAATTCTAAATTACTATATTGTGGGCACAAATTAGGGGTTGCGAAAATTAAGTGTCTTGCAGTAGTTGGTTTACAGTATATACATATTGGTATTAGGAAAACTCATTTTAAAGTGCAAACATGGATATATAGTTAATTTATGGATATAATGATTGAAGTTTTTGCAACCCATGTCGAAATTCTTAACAATTCCTAGTAAAATTCTATGGATATAAAAACTAACTCAGATAGAAGGAATTTATAGTTATGGCTAACTGATTTTCGGGGTTGTGTCCCCTAGCTAAGAAGTTAAAAATAATGAAATTTACATCTTTATTTGATAACGAATTTTCAAAGATCTCAAGTTTAAAATATTGGACTGGCATTAATTTTGTAAGTATATATTTGTATTTGAAACTCAATTCATACAAAACTTTTGTACCCAAAGATAAATTTTGTATTTTCCTGAATATACATTTGATAGCTATACTATTAACATTATTAAGGAAAAAAATCTATATTCCAAATTTGCTTTGTGTACTTTAATGAATTCTTTATTCAGATATATAAGGAAATGTGGATAAAGTGAAGTATTTTAATTCTCAGGTCCCGAGAACTTTGCTATATAACCAGGTTTTACTGTTTCAAGGTCGCACTTAACATATATTACTCCCAGGTCTTATTCAGGGAAACATTTGAAAAATCTGTTATAATAAACATTCTGTTACAAAGAACTTCAATACTGACCCTACAATTGTCAAAAATCTTGAGTAAGCTGAAGTTCACTGTTGTTTTCATCATCAATTAAGTATATGGTGTATTACATATATAGTAAATTGATCGTAATTAAGAGCCAGACAGTGTTGAATTGACAGGAACTGATCCCCAGAACAAAGGAGGTGTGAAGTGTCTGGTTTGATCTAATACCTGTCAACGAGACGTAATCAGGCTTTTCAGATCAAGTTATTGTTATAATGATACATTTATTATATACCCCTTTGTAATTAGCTAAATTTTTAATTAAAGCACTTTTTGATACACAGAAAAAATTCTGTGGACAACCCTTTGAAGCTTGATCATCAGTTTCAGAGAGGGGTCGAACGTGATATGGATTTATAGTCAAAATTACAGTCTACTGATCTGGAAAATCGGATCACATTGTCACTTCATTGAAATCAACAGAAAAATTGAGTTGTACATATATAGTGTTAGGTACATGTATATATACAGTTTGTTGAATTGATAATATGTTATAAAACATTTCAGATGTCTCAATTCTATATACCAACTTTTTTTTTTTGACAACTTTTTTTTACAATTTGTCAGCTTGAAATCTATCTAGGATGACTAATTTTGTGAACAAAAAATATATTTTACACGCAAATGCGTAACGAAATCTATCTAGGATGACTAATTTTGTGAACAAAAAATATATTTTACACGCAAATGCGTAACGAAAAAAGTAGTTAGGGGTGAGATATATTCCTGAGCAAAACAAGGTTACAAAAGTCACAGATATTTCTAGCTGCAGAATAACAGTTGGTTTACCGTGTTTTATTTCCATGACATATCTGTGATCTCATGCAATGCATATTTATACGTGAAATATATGAATTTTTCTGGTTAATTTTTTGAAGTGTAAAGTGGCTCATATATTGCGCTAGGGCAGAAAAAAATTCCATTAGGCCTATACTAATCATAACTATGCAGTAGCCTGTTTACAAAATAATTTGTGATTATAAGACCAGAATACAATTTCTCTTAGGGGCATTTGAAAGCAAAATTAATCTTTTTTTTCAAAGAAATTTGAAAAATATTTTTTATTGTGTTTACATGTATGTGACCCAATTTGATTTAGCAGAATACTTAATTTTTGAAAGATTTTACTATCAACTAATGGTTTTGGTCTTAGTTGTAAGTTCTTTTGTAAAATGGGGCCCAGGAGTAAAATCTGTTGTTTCTTGTCTTCAAGACAAACGTGTACTCAACATTAAATCAATTTATCTTTTTTTTTTTTAGATTTCTTATGACATCATTTGAGAAGGAAAAGAGCGAAAGGCATTTGACCTTGACCCACCCTTTCTTGTGTCAAGGATAATGAAGCGGAGATCCTTATGTCTGCAATCGTGGCGTACCAACATCCTGTTCACCCCTATAACATGCATGGGCAGTATCCAGATCTATTTATAGATCCGGCCCGATACTCGCCCATCATGGGGAAGAGTAAGTAATTTGTTATGATGACAAGAAAAAATTTGAAAAAACCTGCAAAACAAGTCATTTTAGACTTGAAAAAAAATATTTTGCTTTAATTGTGATCCCTTTGAAGCTTATGTAATTCAAACTTTAAGTTGAATGCTTCTACAGTCAGTCAGCTATTATAATTCAGTGTATTTGATATATTTTGGATTTCATAGAACTACACAGTACTGTAGAAGTTCAGCAAAGAAAGTTATTCTATGATGTATACTGTAGATTCCTTATTTTTCGCAAGTAGTTATTATCGTGAAATGGCTGTTGAGTGTCAAATCACGAGAACAATAATTCATGAGTAGACGGTTAATCAAGAGATTTTACATTGATTTCAGTACCATAAAAATAAAAGGGAATAATTTTATTTCGTGAGCGGTGCTTCTCGCTAAATTACGCGATAATTAATTCCTCGCCTGTATTTAGGAATCTACAGTATTAGCCCAGAAAACACAGTATGTAATATTGTTGTCCTGACTATATATTGTTTTGAATGTCAAAAGTTGTAGAACTACTAGTTCATCCTGTTCATGCAATATATGTTAGTTTAAAATTCAGAAAGAAAAAATAATAGTTGTATTCTTTACAGATTGCTATATACATGACTCTAAGATTTGTCTGTATATATTGATGAAGACAAAGTTTATTTATACATTGTATACCAGTCAATAGGACTTGCAGCATCTGCAAGCTTTGGCCAAGGGAATTGAAACTTATATTAAAAAACTGTATTATTTAATGTAATTAGGATTTTGTTAAAATGGCAAAAATAAGTTTTCACTTTTTCAAAATATATAGGGACAGAAGACTTAAGGCAAACTTTAAAGATAGTCATGCTTGTTTTTAAAACAAGGTGATCTTCAGAAAGAAATTTAGAAAAGAAAAAAAAAATCATGAATGCCATTAACTTTGGAAAAAAAATGCAAAGAGGGATAACTCTTGTTAGTAAAATCGATTTTATCAAATTATATAAATAATAGGAGAAAGAATGCACCTATGTTTTAAGAGAAAATGCTGATAAAGGGAGCCATATCAAATTAGTGAAAAATAAATTTTTTTATGATAACAATGAAATATACTGAACGTTGTATGTAAAAATAACAAATATATCATAAATTGATCATTCTAAAATTTACTAATTGTTCCCTCTGCAAACTACTTGATTGAATATCCTTTAGAAATATTTTTCCTTGAATAAAAACGGTATATTTTGGGGAAATTTTATTTTATTTTATGTTTATATATATGGAACGTTTTATTATCTGATAAATTGTATCGTGTGAAGTATTGCCCAAGAAAGTAACACAAACTTTTTAATATAATCTATATAAATTGTATCACTTAAGATATTCCAAAAAAAATAATTCAAACTTTTTTAATATCTAGACAAATTGTATTACATAAGGTATTACCCATGAAAATAATTCCTATGCAGTGAAACATATAGGTTTACATTGAAATTGATTGATTAGCAGGAAAGCTAATAAAACATCAAAAGTATTCCAAAATGATTTAGACAGAAAAATTAATCTCATTTTCACCACCTAAGAATCGAGTTGCAGCATGTGTTGAAAAAGATTATATTTCATTCAGTAGACCAAATCAATTAAAGTGGGATAAATCCCTCAGATTAAACAAGAGAGGAACAATACAATAAGCCTAAAAATAAAAATCCACCTTCCAAAAAAAAAAAAAAAATTGTAATAATAAGGCCATCTTTAAAAAATTGTTTGTTTGCCCTGACTGATTGGCTATAAATGGCCTGACTCAAAACTTTTTTAAACTTCTGTGAAACAATAATTTTTTATTTTATATTCCTGAATTTTCTCCTCCAAGCAATACATGTATGTTAAGTTGAAATTATCTAGAAAAAAAATTTTCCCACCTAACTACCAACCCAATTTTTTTACCCCGAGTCAGGAGAAGGCAAATAAACATTATTTTGAAGATGGCCTAATAATAATGAATAAAGAAAAAAAAATCTATTACTATGTGGTTACTAAAAAAAATGACCATTAAAGTTGTTTTCTTTTGAAAGTTATAATGGCAAAAAATATGCAGATTTATTTTTTGAAATTAATCCAAGGAAAAGGTTGTAGAGAAATATTCCAGGAATTCATTGAACACTGGGGAATCCTGCTGCACTTTAAAAAGTAAAGGGAGCTAGATCTTTATTATATAATAACAACTATCTTATTCTGTAAGCTGCTAGGCAAATGTCTGACACTTAATTACTGTAAAATGGTAACAGAAAAAAATACTTGTATAAATCGTATTCTGTCATGGAGAAAAGGAGAACAGATATTTCCTAAATTAATTTGTGGTAGATTAGTTACCTTACTCATGCTATGAAGTCTTCTTTAAAAAAATTTTGTTTTAAGAAACCATTTCTGAAAAAAGGAAATATATAGGCCATGGTATTGTGCATAATGTAAATTTCGCTGAAGGATTTACTTTTATGAGCACAAAATAATGACCATGCATGTACCAGAACTTTCCTTAACGATTGTGTTATTTTAAAAATGCTAAATCTCTGGGCTACTCAGACAAGTAATTAAGGATTTGTAACATTATTCAAGCACATATTCAAGGAACTAATTATTATAACATATATATTGGATACTTCTATGACTGATGAGCAGTATAAGTATGCAAATCAGTAGCAGAAACTGTATTATCATGTACAATACTGGCATCATAATAAGATATGCTAGCTGAAATATTATACTTTAATTCATGTAAAGTAGCTGAATTTGATTAGTCAAGAAACATATATTTGTTAAAAAACACTTTTAAACTACCCTCTGAATGATGCATGCCCTGCAGTGCTATATTTCAAAAGACAACATTATTTGATGATGGGTGATACGTGTATATTCCAAAATATAATGACTGCAAGGAATCTATTCCTGCACACTTCACCTTTATTTGTATTTTTAAAAAAATTCAGTATAATATAATAAATGCTGCTTGTTACAGTTGAGTTGAGTAACATTGAAAATTTTCATCCTAAGAAAACCATTGCATTGTCAACCTCGACTTTACCTTGGCTTACAATGGTATTCTTCGACCAGGGGTAAAAATTTTCATTATAATAACTTTAAAAATTAGTTCCTTTATAAATCTACTATAAAAATTAAGTCTAGCATTTCTAATGTTTTACTAAGCAGTCATAAAAAAAATTTGATGTTTGACGGCAGAGTGAGGTATATTGGACCTGTCGATGAGATATTGGACTCAGCGTACGTCACACTGTGGGTGGGATCAGCTAAATCTTAATTACTTGCATTTGTTCATATGGAAGCCAGCACAAGAATGCATGTTTAACAACAAAAAATAAATATATTAAATAAAAGGTATAACAAATTAAACATTAATTGACTGTGTTCTTGGGCAAAATGCGTTTTGTCAACCCCTCGAGCCAAATTGTTTACCTTTAATTGGCCTAATGGGCTCAGGCAAACAGTTTGGTTCTTGTTTCCGACAAAATGCATATGTTGCCCTTGAACCAAGTCAATAAATATATATCGTTATACCTTTAAAAATTTGTTCCTATATAAATCAATGCTGAAAAAAGTCTAACATTCCCAATGTTTTACTGAGCGGGCATAAAAAAAATCAATGTTTGACCGCGGAGTGAGATATTGGACCTGTAGATGAGATGTGGGACTGCTTACGTCACATATTAGGCGGGGTCAGCTAAATCTCATTTGCATGTTTTGATTTTCGACATACATGTATGTCAAAACATAATAGTGAGAGCAGCGAGTGGCACGAAGCGTCGCTCGCAATGCGAGCTCTAAGGACAATGCCTGGGCGAAGAGAAAATTTGGACTTACGCATTGATCCAAACAAATTTTTTTCCCCAGTAACTTCTGGACCCACAATGCATCGCTTGTTTAAGCTATGTTCTCACAAGAATAACGACAAAAGTTTAACAAAAAATAAAAAAAACTCGCATTGATTTAATGGATATATTGCAGATAAATAGTAAATAAAATGTTCTTCATTAAAGTCAGCAATGTTTAGGCTAAGGTTTCAGGTAATGCAACTTAAATACGACGTCATGTGACGTCAGAGTCTAATGAGGATTGAACCCGATCTAAATTAAATCTGAATAAGTATCTGTGCTCAGTGTGTTCTATTGCCCGAGGCCAACAGTTTGGTTCTTGGGTCCAACAAAATGCATGTTGCCCTCGAACCCATTTAAAATATAATTGCATATGTTGCTAATTTCTTCAAACAGTATCTTAATTATAGATTCATGGATCATTCTTCTTGCCTATATTAGGTTTATGCTGTGTTATTGCATTTTCATATGAAAAATTAGAAAGAAGTTTGCACTAAAATCAAATGGGATTGTCAAGTTCAGTAATTATATATACAGACATTAACATTGGAAAATCAATAAACTATCAAAAAACCCATTGAACAAATGACTAAAGATTCAAACATTGAAGATTGCAAGTTATCTGAAAGACTTTTGATTAAATATTCTATTTTTTGTTTTAATTCAGGTCCCTGTAATATAGGTTACTAGAGTTATATACACCCTTTAGAACCTTGCCAGGGCCTTATAAGCATCCTTATTTTTTTTCTCCCATGGGGAGCCCCTTGCTTCCTTCTGAGATTTATTTTTATCTGCTGTTGACCTGGCCTTCACACTGTAGAAGCGGGCCACATAAAGTGCAATGTGTTAAACATGCAGATCTGTACAATACAGGGACATATTTTAACTCGAGCGGTCACCTCTGTGTGTTCGGTCAGTGAGTGAACCAGGAATTGATCAATCTTCTTCAGGGCTTTAAACCAGTGTAATATGAATTTATATGTGATGTTGCAGTCTTCTGGCTAATTTAGCAAATCTTTGGACTTTTTTCTTGTGCTGTATCAGTTGAAGAGTGCGAATTTTGTCCAGTGGTCAGTTGTTAATCTCAGATCAGTATATGAAAGGAAGATTTGTGACTGGGAAG